CACGGCCACACCAAGGGCAAATGGGCAAGTGGAGAGAATGAACAGAGTTATTCTCACCGCCTTGATGTCCAGCGTAGATAACGAGTCTCAATGGGACGACGCCGTCAGTCGCGTAAGATGGGGTATTAATTCTACCATAAGTTCGGTGACAGGTAAGACACCTTATGAAGTATTCTTGGGTTATCGTCCGCGTGGAGTGAACGATGCTTTTCTGACTGCAGAAATTGCAGAAGGACAGGTCGAAAACTTAACCAGTCTACGCACGGACGTAGCAAGACACATAAGGGAGAAGCAAGTCATTCAGAAACGTCTGTATGACGCTAAGCATGCTACTCCTCACAAATATGAAGTTGGACAACATGTAGTCCTGAGACGAGCAAAGTGCTCTAACGACGGTAAGAGTAAGAAACTCGAGCCACGATTCAGGGGGCCCTTTGTGATCACACAAGTACTTGACAATGATCGATATGTTATCGAAGATATGCCGGGTGCGAAACGTTCGCGAACCGCTTACCAAGGAATATGTCCTTCTGATAAGCTGAACCGTTCAGTACGACTGTGAGTTCAGATGAATCGTCTGAAGACGTACCCAGCGATTAGTTGCTGGAGTATCTCTGAAAATGTACAATCCATTTGTTATAAATTGTTTCATTTTATTTGTAGGTACACCAAAGGGAGGAGTTCACGAGGGCGCGAACAAGGTCAGGTTTGGCCGACTGTGAACTAATATGGATTGGAATCGCCCTGTACTTCGTATATTTGGCACATAGGTCTGATTCATCCACTTACGCAAACGGAAGATGAGTAGTGGAGTGACGATATGTTAGTCAGTCAGTGAAAGAGAGTTGTTTGATACGGTTACTTGTATTATATTTTTGGTGTTGGGAAATATACCTAGTGATTTTGGACCTAAAGACCATGGGCGTGTACACCTTAGTAGAACTTTTAACTCAAACCATGTTTATAATGATCCTTTTATACATAAATAATGATTGACGACATAATTCGATCGAAAAATTAACTGGAATGTTTTATTTTTGGACATAAATGATAGTACCTTCTGAAAACGGAGACCCTCTTATGACGTAGAAACCCCATCTCGCCATATATATATATAAACCATATATATCTACTACTGATATATGAATCATAGCTCTCCTCAAAGCGGGACCCATTTCTGTCTCTATTGACCTATCCAAGATGCTGTCAAATCATCTAAATCAATATGGCCGACTGTAGGCACACATACTTTCGTGTGGTAATATCTTTGTTATAGCGGTTCAAGGATAAGAAATATCCACTTTTATTCAAAACAGCCATTATCATAATTTGATATATCTACCAAATATTGAACTGCTGCTACGTAAATCAACAAAAAATACTTGTGTGCCTACAGGCGGCCATTAGAAATATGTCAAAAGTCACGTGTTCTGGAATGCCTAATAGGTAATGAGATCGACCAATAGGCGTTGATACCGACGTAGGGAAAAAATAATAGGAAATGTGTCAAACCAATATGGCTGTTTCCATCCTTCACTTTTCGTTCTCATAGATTCAAAGAGTACCTCTCATTTTGGTCCCATTTTTGTTGAGATATCGTATAGGCGATGCGCCATATATAGAAATAGTAGATATATGCTTGAAACTGACACTCTCCTGACACTTATTACTGTTGCCATATCATCCAAACAAAATATCCGAGAAATCGAAATCGATATTGAAATATCTTTTGATATCCACTACCACTACTGCAGAAAAATATATTCGAGTTGTCGATTGTAGGTTGAATCATTGGAGTATAAACAATCTCTAGACAACGAAATGTCTCAATCTCAAAACCATTTGCACCATTACAATTTCACAATAATCCAATATATTTCATAAACATAGCAACATTGCTTTGTTGACCCGTTTCACATGGAGCTGCAAAAAGTCAATCTAGGTTAGAATTGATTTGTCAGAAATCATGTATCATTTATCTCTGTCTGGAATAGTCTTGTTTCAGTATTAGGGTTTTGACGTCACATCATCGCCTCGTTTTCAGAGGTCCGAAAAATCGGGGATTTCAATAATTTTTTATAAAACGTAGGGAGCTCACAGCAAGAAACGGTTTGCGGTGGTGAGCTAGTTTGGGTGAGTTCTATCGAATTATGAAATAAATTTTTTTTGTGATATAAGCCCATTTCATTGAGTGAACCTTTTACAATTTATTGACCCAATAATTAAAATTAATATTTTCCCAACATTCACCATTTATTGACTCAATATTGAACCAATATTAGTTTTCTACTTGGGTGGATGTGCTTCTAACGAGCGCATCACGGACGTGAGATCATGAAAAAAGTTGATAGAAATCGAATTGGAGTGAATCACAAAATTTTATGTCTCAACAATATATGCTTCCATTTTTGGCGATTGTGGAATAAACTGGTCAGCGGATATCAATATACAGGCTGATTCACGGTGGATGGCACATTAGACGTTTCTGGTGAACCAGACAACGAATTATTTTGAAAATCCAACGAAGGGCATATTCGGACATTCTCTAGCCAACTAAAATATTTTCGCTTTTGGGTGTATGATAAATTGACATTCATCATACAGGGCGTGGAAATGAATTCTGAATCGAGACTCTATCACGAATCTGCGATTAGAGGTCTATAAAAATCACAAGTTTCCATCGTTCAAGTTTGAACCCCCTGATTGGGTATAAAAGTGTTAAAAAGGAATATTCTCAGATAAATTATGAACATACAAAAATGGATATAATATATTTATATAAAGCAATACATTGAGAATTCGCATTCTCTATGTGATGAGAATATTTACTCTTTTTCAGTTAATTCAATAGAAAACAACTACTTTCCTGGCTATATGCCACGACGAACATTGAATTATATCTATTGAACACATACGATAAGAGTTTGAAAATAAAATATAAAAATTTCCGAAATTGAGAATTTGCATTCTCCTTCAGACAAAAAAATAGGTATATACACACATCATTCTGAATATTCAACAGTAGTTGTTTTCTGTTGAATATTCAGAATGATGTGTGTATATACCTATTTTTCTGTCTGAAGGAGAATGCAAATTCTCAATTTCAGAAATTTTTATATTTTATTTTCAAACTCTTATCGTATGTGTTCAATAGATATAATTCAATGTTCGTCGTGGCATATAGCCAGGAAAGTAGTTGTTTTCTATTGAATTAACTGAAAAAGAGTAAATATTCTCATCACATAGAGAATGCGAATTCTCAATGTATTGCTTTATATAAATATATTATATCCATTTTTGTATGTTCATAATTTATCTGAGAATATTCCTTTTTGAAATATTTTCGACAATGCGGTGTTGCCGCTTCTATTAGAAAGCAGTAGCAACTTTGATTTTTCAAATAGAACACTCTGTATCTCATTGCATTTTTAGATTCTAGCTGAAGAGCTGATTTCATCGATGTATCACACTTGGGGTCTAGCGGAAATGATTACAGAGATATAGGGTGTGAAAAATCGACATTTTTCAACTTTAGTATTTTTTTGTGTCGAAACTATTCATCATTGGTCAAAACGGCTCACATGTCCCTATCTCAACTTTTGATTAACTATCTACTGATATTTAATTGGGACATATACCGGGTGATCAAGATTCTGAATTCTGCACCACCCTGTATTTGTTTCAATTAAATTTCAGTAGATAGTTGATCAAAAGTTGAGACAGGGACATGTGAGCCGTTTCGACCAATAATGAATAGTTTCGACAAAAAAAATTCCTAAAGTTGAAAAATGTCGATTTTTCACACCCTATATCTCTGTAATCATTTCCGCTAGACCCCAAGTATGATACATCAATAAAATCTGCTCTTCAGGGAGAATCTAAAAATGCAATAAAATACAGAGTGTTCCATTTGAAAAATCAAAGTTGCTACTGCTTTCTAATAGAAGCGGCAACACCGCATTGTCGAAAATATTTTAGTTGGCTAGATAATGTCCGAATATGCCCTCCATTGAATTTTCAAAATGATCCGTTTTCTGGTTCACCAGAAACGTCCAATGTGCCATCCACCGTGAATCAGCCTGTATAAGCTGCTCATAAATTTGATTGAAATTCACGAACCCGGACCAGTCTTGTCACCTTAGTGTATTTTACCCTAGAACTGAATCTGAATGGGTCTGTTTGAGTGGAATTTCATATTTCATTATGTCGAATTACTAAATCAAACTATATAATTCACTGTCGGAAATCATTTTCTTGTCAGAGCTATGCACAATTTCCGAAATTTTTATTATTGAAATTATACTGATATTTATCACATGAAAAATGCGGAACAATGCGTCCGAACATAGATCCGACCTATGTATTGCCGAAACTTGGAGTGCCAATAATTTCCTTTGACTTTTGTGGGGCGGACGACTCGGTGCCATTGTCGGCGATAGGGCTGCCAAGCCGTCGTTTGTCGCCCTAACAACACAAGTACATCCTAGGGACTTCCCAGGGATGTCCCTTATTTTATACAAGGACATCCCAGAGATATCCTTTGTCGGGACAGAGTACATACTAGGGACGTCCCAGGGACATCAGTTGGCTGACAAAAAAGCATCCAAGGGATTTCCGTCTGGTACGTCCCTGGGATGTACCAAGAACGAAGAAAGGATATCCCTAGGAGGTCGCAAGGATATTCCAGGGACATCCCATCGACAAAAGAAAAAAAATTAGGTCGAGTAGGGGTTGAACCCGGGACTTTTAGCTTATCAGGCACGCACCTTACTCCATTGGCTGATATGCCTTCTGAAGATTTATGTGCCAAACAGATTTTTAAACAGGACTAAACTGCAGAAACCTGAATAAATACAACTTTGTTAGGATTTGGGTATAATTATTATTATCATTCGTGGATGTTTAAAAATGAGGGGCATTATGCATTTACTATTTCTGTTTGCGAAAAATGGTCATTTATTGAGAGTGGGAAGTGAGGGCGGGAAGTAGAGGTGGGTAATGTGACACTTCCCAACCTTCAATCACGTTAGTAATGACAACATTACATATATATGGTTGTAAATAAACGTTATTTTTCGTACGTTAGCGTTCACGTGGAGGTCTACGTACAATGATTACTTCCACTCTCTACTTACATTGTTGAGCTTCAGCTTGGTCTTCATCTTGTCCGGCTTGTAGTGGCCAGACAGCTGGTAGAGTACGGCCCTGGAGCGCCTTCTGCCGCCGTTAGAGGGCGGGGCCTCCGCATCGAGGTTGCCGTTCGCGTCTGCAAGGAGGCAAGAGTCAGCACCGCGGAAGCGAGCCCCAAGAACGGCAGCTGCGCACAACAAAGAATAGAATACACTGTGTTCATCTACTCGCTGAATCGAAAAACAACAGCTGTGACAACAGTATGCTACGGAAGCGCATTAGGGCCAGCACAAAAATTTTTTTATCTTGAAATTTCAACTTAGCTATGTTGAAATTCCAAGATAGTATCTCGAAATTTCAGCTAAGCTATGTCGAAATTTCAACTTACTATCTTGAAATTTCAACATGCTAAGTTGAAATTCAACAAAGCTAAGTCGAAATTTCAACAAAGCCAAGTCGAAATTTCAACATAATCATGTCGAAATTCCGACATAACTTCGATACATATTCGAAATGTATAACTAATGAGATTAGTACGACGGTTGTGATACATGCTCTGAACAGACGATCGACACAAGTTGTGTTTAGCAAATATGTATGATTTAATCAAATTCTACTTTCTACTTGGATGCTGCCAGAGTAGTGAGATGTTATATTTTATTTCAGAAAGACATAAAAGACATAAAATTCATATAAGCAGGAGAATATTGAGAAGGGCCTCAGAAAAATGGAGTTGTACAGAAGAATAGTTATTGATACACCAAGGTAGTAAAGAATATCATTATTACTCAGGGACCAAGATTATTAGGGGGTTATGAGGTCTCGTAGTACACACATGAAATTAATTTCTCCATTCTAGATTTCTTTATCGCTTAGAGCGCACGAAAGGAGATCCCTATAATGACAGAAGGTAGGTATTAAAATTTTTTCTGAACTTCTGGAGATTATATGTTGTTGGGAATTCTTCCTCAGGAATTCCAGAACCTAGCCGTTCTATGGATGAAGGAGTTTCGATAAAGTGCTGTTCGACATCTTTCGAGGTTGACAACAAAAGGATTTGCTGACCGGGCTTGTCTTGTTCGTCTGACAGGTATTGATAGTGCAGGGATGCTAGCAGAGATTTCCGAAGAACATTTCCCGTGGAATTATCAATAGAAAAGTGAAAAGTCGCCGATGATGATACATTTTTTCAATTCTGAATTCTTGAACTGAGGAAACACCTTCTTCTTCTAAAATGATTCATTCGATGCAAAGTTTTCGAATGTCTCTAATGTGGAAAATAATTTATTTGGAATTTTTATTTGGTTTCATCATATACTCTCTATCCAAGTAATTCAACAATATTCAGTAGAGAAAACTACAATTCTTGGAAGTCATAACTCGAAATCTCTTGTTCCAAGACACTATAAAAAATATTTCTTCATTGAAGAAATTAGCTAAACATATTTATCAGAAGGAGAGGGTTTGTAATTCCATATTCTCGAATCAATCCTTACACATTCTTGAATCTCTTTGCAATTTCATCTTCAAGGTTGTGTTGCCAAACGTACGAATTGGTACCCATTCATAATTATTCCAACTTGGCCAAGTCTCAAAATCTTGTTGAATGCTATTCATGAGCCCTTCCATACCTATACCTCTACCAATATGAGAGTAACCATAATTATCAATTCAAAATTATGAAGATGTTTCGAAGTCGGTAGCATTCAAGATAGGTATGAATCAAAGAAAAAACAAAATACACCAAGTCGGTCGACCACAAAATTATATTACACAATTACTAGTTTCGGCTAAACAGCCATCTTCAGACACAAATTGAATAAAGTACCTGTAAAAGATGAAATTACAGACGAACAATAAGTTTGCTGAGGAAAAAAGATACCTAGGCCATGGGGTGATTACAAATTCAACAAATAAAAATCAAGCGGTTATTTAATCATGTCAACATTGGCACGAAAAAATTAAATATTTGAATTCACTCAACTGAGTTCCATCTTGGATGGCTATTGAAAGACAGAAATCCAGGAATCGCCGAAGCAAGCAAATGACAGTGACAGCATGACAAGACTGAATGACAGTGCAAATTATACAAACTAAATGACATGACAAAATCATCGTGAGGTACAGAAAACTATTTGGCAAAATAAACAAATTATTGCAAAGGAAACTATGGGTTAATTACCTAATCTCCATGTAACAAAACTATGAGAAGTACGTGGTAAGGTTGAAGACCAAAAAATGAAGAAGAAGAAATGTCAAGTGTAGTAAAAGTAATAACGGCAGAAGAAGAAGAAGGTCCACGAAAAGTAAACAGGCCCGGCTTAAGTACCTGAAAACGGGAAAATTGATCATGAGAATTTGAGTGTGCGAAAAATGTGGTTTCTTTCAAAATTAGTTTGGTCGTTAAGGCAATTGATATTTGGATTATTGATACATTTTTGAATTTCCAAGATTTCTAAAAGGTTCAGCCGTTTACCTTTATTGCAAATGTGAATAATATCCATATTGGATTTGACATCAAAAGTGTGATAGGTCGTAGGACAAAACTCTGTTTACCAAAAACACTAAGATTGTTCATACGGAAACGGCTGAGAATACCTATATCCCCATTTTGGAACATGCCCATGCAACACAAGATGATGAACAATTCCTCTTTCTCCATTGAATCCAATTTTGAATGCGAAAATAACTGTTCCTAGATTTTCTTGTTATTAGAATTGGCAAAACTTCGAATTTGTTGTTTTCAATAAGGAAACTAATATACAAAACTAATGACTTCAATCACTGTTTTCTACATAAAATGGCGACATAAATTTTCTCGTTCATGGATTATCGTAATTTCCTTTGAAGAAGCTTATGAAGTGGGTGGTGTCGATGGCTATGACATCAAGAAAGTAGATAAACTAATTCGTAGACATACATTTAAGTTAGCCCTTCAAAATTCTGTCTTTTCGAGTGAATAAAAACAATTCGATAATAATCAGAAAGTTTCTCTTCGATGCCCAAGTATAAACACGAACGTGATGAGAACGTATATCAGTCGATACCAGGCAATTCATTAGGCACTCCAAATGATGAAATGAAAACACTTGAAATATTAGGAATTTACGAGCTTGGTCGTGATGATTGTTGTGAAACATATATAACAGGGGTAAACGACCCATGAAAACAAGGTTCAAAGAACACACAACAACTTTTATATTCAACCAGGCAATTGAGTCACTTTCCAACCGTATGGAAGATTGCAAATGTATTACCTATACCTAAATGCAACTCCCCTACTGAATTGACACATTTGAGACCTATCAGTATCCTTCCTGCACTCTCGAAGGCATTTGAGAAGATTCTCAAGGAACAAATCTTCGATTTCGTCTCCAGTCAAAATATAATTTCTTCAGCCCAATCTGGATTTCGTTCTGGTCATAGTACCACCACTGCACTTTTGAAAGTCACTGACGACTTGTTTCGGTCAGTAGATAGAGGTGAATCTTCGTGTCTCATTTTGTTGGATTACACTAAAGCTTTTGACACCATTGATCATGATGTTCTTTGTAAGAAGCTCAAATATATTGGATTTCATCAGAACTCAGTAGCTCTTATCAAGAGTTTTCTCACGTTTCGGACTCAGTCAATCACTCTTGATGGTGAATCTTCAGGAACACTACCTGTAGAGTTTGGGGTACCTCAAGGATCTATTCTTGGCCCATTACTATTTTCTTTATATATTTGTGATTTTCATGAGACAATTGAGTACTGTCATATTCATCACTACGCCGACGATACCCAACTTTATATCAGCTTTGACATAAACAACGCCGACTTAACATCTGAACAAGTAAATGATGATCTGACCTCTCTGTTCGATATTTCCACTGCACATAACCTCAAGATAAATCCGCGCAGGTCCCATGCTATGCTTATCGGCACAAAATCAAAATGTGCACTAGCTGAGGGAAGCTTTTCACTTAAACTTTCCAACGAACAACTACCATTTGTCAATGAATGCAAAAACTTGGGTGTCTGGTTCGATCAGCAATTACGATTCACGAAACACGTAAGTCATTTGTGTCAAAGCTCTTTCAATGTGTTGAGACAATTATACCCTTCTAAGGACATTTTACCCACCTCGAATCTTGAACTAAATCTCTGCCAATCCTTGATTATCTCTAAGCTCTCATATTGTGACGCTGTCTACGGCCCTGCACTTTTGCGGAATGATGCCTACAGATTACAGCGTATTCAGAATTCCTGCATACGATTCTCCTATGGTATTCGAAAATATGATCACATCAGTGCAAAGTTCAGAGAGTCCGGTTGGCTGAGACTGGAAAAATTGAGGGAACTCCATTTACTCACTTTAACCCATAAAGTAATAACTACATCTTTCCCAACTTATCTAGCTGCTAAACTGATCAGATTCAGAAACTATAACAATGCGAGAACACGAAACAAAAATACCTTGGTAATTCCAAAATACAAAACCAGTTTGTATAAACGAAGCTTCTCTAATAATCTACTAAATTTTAAAAAGAAACTGAAAGCATTACTGAATGATGGATAGATATTTCGATGCATGATATAATATAATATATTCTACCTCGCATAGCACAAGACTTTTCCGATTATCAAACTATCGATGGCAATTCTCTTTATAATATGTTCAATAGTACTATTGTATTCCATACTCCATACCTTTTTTTTCTCTTTATTCCTTCTTTTTCTTCAAGGGTTAAGTTGTAAAACAGCATCAGCTGACACTTCGCCTCTTCATCTTTGTACTACAATAATTATTTTTTATAAATTTAATGTACTGATATTGTTGCAAGATGAATAAAGACGATTTATTATTATTATTATTATTATTATTATTATTATTATTATTATTATGTTCAACGACAACCATCACAGATATATCGATGATCTTGAATTAGTCAAACAAGTCATAAATGTTGGATGCATATGTAAGTCTGTAAATACTTAGTTGAAAATAGTAATAGAGTTATGAATAAGGGTAATGGAAGTATTTCACATAGTCGCACATAGCCCTCTGTTTACTTTAGTGACTTAGGAATGCCATGTAATCAACTCAACCATGACAGTCATCGACTGCGCAGTTACCCAGTAAACACAAACTTGTTGATGAAACGTTGAATAAAGGTTGGAATAGTGGAAATAATGTTGATAGTGATTGAAAACTTCAACGTTAAAATTTGGTTGAAGATGACCGGGAAATAAACACGTTATTTAGACGTTTTATTCTCAAGAATTCATAACTTTCTGTTCATCTACAACCACAATTGAACGTTGACATAAAACGTTGATACTTTCAAGCAACAATACGTCATTCTATCTCAATGGAACGGCACATTTACAATGTGCGGTAGAATAATAACTAGAAATAACCTGTTCATATCGTTAGAAAACTAATAGATTCAAACAACTAATTCTTGATTACTTCAACGTTTGAAACTCACATATTTATAACTTTTGAGTTACTTGATACGTCATTTGATCCTGTACTGATAATGTTGATAAAACGTAGAAAATTACTCATTCAAAAACGTCTATTATTATGTGGAGAAGATTATTCACCGATATTGGAATGCTTCAAACGATTATCACACGTCAATTTCAGTATTTCATTTAAATCAGGAAATACTGATTCAATCACTGATTATTCATCGACTTTGAGATGAATGGTCCTACGTTTGATATACTCAATAATAAAGCGGTTTCCTCGATATTGAAAATTACCAATTTTGTACAGGGGGGCTGGAATTAGAGCCTCATCATTGGGATCTCGTAAACTGTCAGAGATGCAGTTGCAGTTGAATCTTGGCAAAACCGTGCAATTTTAGGCTTGACCAAATTCCGTCTTGACACATGGAAGATTCCTCTGAAAAAAATCCGATTAACTCAAGAACAAGGGTGCTATTGACATTAACAAGAACGACTTCACCTTCTGAGAAACCGAAAGTTTGGCAATGATGAAAATCTTTAAGTCGGATTTTTAATGATTCGGCAGAGTTCTCACGGTGGACTAACGTTAATTCGAAACGTTCATTGAACTGTCGAAATTAACGGTAATCAAACGTTTTATTTAGAGTATTTGATACGAGTAGTCGAGAATATTCAAATAAGGATGCGTTGAGATGGGCACCTTACTAAGAAGAAAGTGGAACAGCTGAGGAAAGGAAACTCATGGACAACATAGCAGGTTAGTGAGGTATGATAATAATTATAGTAGTTATGAGAATGTTGATGAAATAATCGTAGACACAAAAATAACAAAAACTACTCCGACTTCGTTCGAAAAACCAAAAATTTGACGGTTGAAAATTGATCCGACGAGAACGTTGAAATATATTTTTTTATCAACTTGTTTAAACGTTGATATATGTTTAAAATTCCGTTGAGAACCTGGCAGTTTCCACCGGTGTCAAACGATGATTTACGTTGAAATTAGTATGGGGGCGGCTTAGAATATCACCCCATGGCGAATCCTGCCTGTCGTAAAAGGCGACTAAAAGGATAACTTTAGGTGGTAGATGGTCTCATCGCCCGGTGAAATACCACCATATCGACTTTGTGTGCTGTAAAATGGATAACTCCATGTTTCAGTTTTCGGTCGATACTTTCCTGTCTCCCCCACCCTTTTCCCCAATTTCTCCTCTCTATGAATAAAGATGCTGAAGTCTCCCAGAGTGAAACACTCCGGGAGTAAAATACCTCTCCATTCGGATTTCCGGGCGAGAAGTACTCTCTGAAGATTGATTTCTGCAACATCCGAGGACTCAACAAAAACATCAATAACGTGAACCATCATCTACAAACGAAAAAACCAGATATTCTGGCACTAACAGAAACTCAAGTGAGCTCGTCGACCAACAAGGTCCACATGCTCTGTCCTGGTTACGAAATTCATTCTCGTTTCAGGTTCAAAGGTGGTGTCTGCCTCTAAGCTAAGGCCAGCGTGTAGAGACTTTGGAACCGAATGACTTTGATGTGATGTGGTTTGAGCTTGTCGATACCAAACTGACCAATCTTTACCTATCGCCTAATGATAATGATTATAACAACCTCCTTGAGTTTTTATCACTCGAACTGGACTTCATTCAGGAGAACCATCCAACAGCTGGAATCATAATCATGGGAGACTTCAATGTACACAACGCAGCCTGGCTCAAATTCTCTATCGAAACAGATGATGCAGGTCGTCAAACTGATGCATTCGCCATCACCCATGGTCTAGAAAAACTTGTCGAACTACCAACCCACATTCCAGATGTCAACAACCAGTCAGCCAATACACTAGATTTTTTTCTCACCAGCAATGCTGATCCATATAGAATAGGAGTTTCTGCCCCACTTGGAAACTCTGACCACACCCTCATCTCCACAACCTGCTCTTTCCATGTACAATTTGGCCGACTGGGAATGTCTTCGTATTTTTTTTCAGCGTTTCCATGGAAGAGAGTTTGTTTCTCCTCAGCAGATCCAACACGATGTGCTGAGACAATTTCTGAAATCATCATGTTGGGGATGCAAACCTACATACCGAACACTGCAAGGAGAACATCTATCGATGAGGCCTGGTTCAGTAGAAACTGCTCTAGAGCTGTCGATTCCAAAGAGGCAGCATTCCATCGGTGGCAGAAAAATCCAGGCCCTGAGACTAGAGTGGAATATGTCCAGGCTAAAAGCATATGCAATAAGACAATTCGATCATCGAAGGATGCTTAAAATGTCATAATAAGATCAAAACTTGTTGAATTTCCTAACGGATCCCGTTCATTTTCCTTCCTTCGCCAAAGCTGTATGGAGAAACTTCACTTCCAGCTCGTTTGCTCCTCTAACCGACCAGTTCCTAAAAAAGGCAAAAAGAATCTACCTAGCAACTACAGACCGATCGCACTGCTATTTATCATTCCAAAGATCATGGAGAAAGCTATCAACATCGAGCTTATGAAATACCTGGAACATTCAGATATTATCAACGATAGGCAATATAGCTTCCGTCATCAGAGATCCACTGGTGACCTGCTCGCTTACGACTCACATATATGGCAGCAATCTATTGAAAAATATGGTGAAACCTTAGCCGTGGCACTTGATATCTCCAAGGCATTCGATCGTGTCTGGCACCACGGACTCCTCGCTAAGCATCCATCTTATGACTTGCCTCCCCAGCTATGTTCTCTGCTAGCTACTTTTCTCTCAAACAGGTCTCTCCATGTAGTGGTCGACGGAATTTCATCTGACTCTCTTATTATGTCCCATTCAGGAGATAATCACTTCCTTTCTTGATTTTTCTCAATAAATTCCCACTGCTTACAAGAACAATACTTCCAGTGAATAACACTTCTTCATTTCATTATTCATTCATGATTTGTTATAATTTCAATTGAAGTCGGATTGTCATCGTTTATTCCGTAAAATAATTTGATGACCAATGCAAAATTATATCAATATCATATTGAATAATTGTTGTTTGACACATCATCAACAAATTGATGGCCCAGACGTAGGATGCCGCTACAGAAAAGAAAACAACAAAAGTGGCTGCCAGTGAATTTCAATTTTTTGCATCCTGTACTTGAAAATGTTAAACATTCTGGAAAATATCATTCCAATTACTACTGCTCGCAGTGGAATGTGCTTATACCACTAACCGACTTTCTCAGAAATGTGCAAATGCTGGTTAATTATTAGTGTTGTTCGACGAACAGCTGAACTTCGGAAAACCATACCCCTTTTTTATATTTTGTGTTAGTGTTCGTGTTCATTGAATTGTGATCATAATCTAACAGGAGCAATCGAATTTTTCGACAGTTTCATTTGTAGTAGATGAGTAACGCATTGCGAATTCCATACTCAAATCAATTATTTCCATTGGCGTAGATGGAAATACCAAGTTCTATGTCCTTGTCATGTGAGTGAAATCTCATGAGCCTTTCTAAAGTTATGAACCAGAAATGATTCGAAAATTGTGACTTGTAACCTGTTCAGTGCCCAAACTGAGGACTGAATACTTACTGAAGTGAGTTTTCTGAAATCGAATACTTTCAGTCTGGAGAATAGGTGCTGAAAAGGTTATCAAAAGATCTTTTAGGGACACAATGAGCACTTCATCTTATAATGGTGGAAGTCTGACTTTCAATGTGGAGCCATTTGTCGATGTCGGAAAAACAAATCCGCTTGCGGTGCATTTTTCGATATTGTCTACAGCTCAAGAGAATTCGATTTTAACCTGCCTTGGGGAAAAATTCCGTGTGTTCCCATGTGAATTGACATGCATTGAGCAACTCGAACATGAAACTGGTAGGTGCAATTATCTCCAAACCTCACAACATCGAATGAAATCGCATCAAAGAATAGCATCCGCAAATGAAATTCTCTAAAAGAACGCCATGCGAATATAAAAAGGACACAGGAACACATGCACAGGAAATCTCATCATATTTATGAATCCCTTACCGCTATCGTAGACATCACACTCTGACATCTCAGCCATCTTGGTGTTGGTAATGTCTTTATGGGAGGCAAGATAAAGAACGACTTCTCGCTTCTCATTCTTGATGGGCACAATGTCTAGTAGACACCAGAATGGAGTAGCTGTAACAAGAAAGTTTTTTATGATTTATGATGATCGAAATTTTTACTTGGAGACACTTGTGGCTGATCGAGATTCTAAGAAAGGAAAGGATGAAATAACATAACAAACTCAGCTGGAAATGATATAATACGTATAAGATCGGAGTAGGCATCTCACATTTTCATTTCAATTTATTTAATTTCACTCAACTCAACTCATTTTCTGTGAAGAAGTCGAGCTGAAAATTTGATTGGTTTCGATTCGTTTTGTTTCGGAGAACAAGACATAGGATTATTTTGAAAATTTGGTAACTCAAGTAGTTGCTCTTGATGGTCGATCGATCTGAAATATTTTCATAAATACACCGTTGCTGCTCATACCAGAATGTAGTTGCAACTTCAAACACCCTGTATTGTATTTCATTGCATTTTTATTTTCTTCTTGGAAGCTGATTTCATCAAGCGGTAATGATGAAAGAGATATAAGGTGTTCAAAATCGGGATTTTCGTATGTAAAATACAAATGTATCGATGATTATCGAAATACATATTCCTTCGATAATGGGAAACACTTTATTGTTTGGCAAACAAACGAGCGCATAGCGCAGGTGTGGTTTCCTGAAACAACATAATTTTTTTCGAAAAAGAAATGGAATACTTCGATAATCTTCGATTGAAGGAGTTGTATTTGATGAGATTATTTTAAGAACAAATGAATACCTCTGGCAAACTTTTTTCACGCATATTGAATGCCCATTTGGTGAGGATAACCGCAAATTTTTCATCGGATATATTCTATTTCATTTGGTGATTTCGTTGATTGCAAAAATTTTGTGAATTGTTTCCAGATATATTCGTTCGATCGCATGGTATTTTGCGGCGACAATTAGTAGTGAGTAATTGAATTATGACAGAATCGATAGCCTTCTGGTGAGTCTATTATTTTTTGTTTTATGAACTGCAACAACAACTATGCAGGTATGCAGTAGCCAATCAAATGCCGAAATACAAAAATGAGATCATCATGTTTTCGATTATCAACATAGACATTTCAACCAATCAGAAATAATTATTTATTATACAAGGGAAAAAAGTAGTAGATTTTAGCTCCAGGTTGTGCTATCTCCCGACGCGTAGCCGAAGGAGACAAAAAACCGTGAGCTAAAATCTAATATTTTTGCCGTGTATAATACACTATTTTTTTCTGTGACAGAAAAATGGACAAATCGATATTGGGAAGATATTACACATCTGAAAATTATCGACGTGAAATTTTAAGTTTTTAACAGTATAGGAACACCTGCCTTGTAGGCATCTTTATCATTCTTTTGAAGTAATCAAATATCTGATGTCACTTCTGTCAGTCTAATTCTGTGATTTGATTTCAAAAAATGACGAATTTAGTGGTTGTTTAGTAATATACATAACCGCGAAGTCGAATGGAAGATGAAAGGACTTGCAGTCCATCTCGGAGACGGTATTATTGACTCATTTTTCGGCACTATAGCACAACAAAAGCCATTAACAGTGTATATATATGTGATATATATCCGGAAAAAAAGTACTCACTTTTTCCCACGGGAAAAAAGTAATTTGTGAAAAGTGACAAGTGCCAGCACAACAAAAGCCATCAACAGTGTATACAGGGTGTCCCTAGACCAGTGGGACAGTTGAATATCTCCCGAACCAATAGGAATTTTCAAAATATTATAATTTCACATCATATCGCATCATGAGTGCTAACTTCAGGAATGACTATATTTTCTACGAGGGGCGCAAGAAAGTTTCACAAAATCGAACATAAATTTTTTCAAATGGAACACCCTATATTTCATTGCATTTTCATATTCTACTTGAAGAGCTGAATTCAACGACCTAGCACACTTGGGGTCTAGCGGGAATGATTTCCGAGATATAGGGTGTGGAAAATCGAGATTTTTCATTTTTGGGAATTTTTTGTGTCAAAACTATTCATTATTGGTCAAAACGGCTTACATTTCCATCTTAACTTTTGATTTAGTATTTACTCGTATTTAATTGAAACAAATACAGGGTGGTGTAGAATTCTTAGTTTCAGTCTGAATTTCACACCACCCTGTATTTGTTTCAATTGAATACGGGTAAATAGTAGATCAAAAGTTAAGATATGAACATGTAATCCGTTTTGACCAATAATGAATAGTTTTGACACAAAAAATTCCCAAAAATGAAAAATCTCGATTTTCCACACCCTATATCTCGGAAATCATTCCCGCTAGACCCCAAGTGTGCTACGTCGTTGAATTCAGCTTTTCAAGGAGAATATGAAAATGCAATGAAATACAGAGTGTTCCATTTGAAAAAATTGATGTTCGATTTTGTGACCCTTTCTTGCGCACCTCGTATAAAATATAGTCATTCCTGAAGTTAACACTCATAATGCGATATGATGTGGAATTATGATATTTTGAAAATTCCTATTGGTTCAGAAGATATTTAACTGTCCCACTGGTCTAGGGACACCCTGTATATATGTGATATATATCCGGAAAAAAAGTACTCACTTTTTCCACGGGAAAAAAGTAATTTGTGAAAAGTGACAAATGCCCAATTTTTTTCCCGTCACAGAACAAATTAATTTTTTTGTCGACTTCTACAAAAAATCACATTTTACGTTCTAATTTCCGAACAAAAAAACCTATTTTCCAAGGCAAGTACTTTTCGTCCGCAGACACTAACTTTTCGTTCACAAACACTTTTCGTTTGCTGCAGGGTTGCCCGTTCTACCAAATTTTCAGTAGATCTCCTGATTTGCATATTGATCTAATAATCTTCTGAAACATTTCATAATCTACTGAAAAATATTTTGACACTCATTTATTATCATTATTACCTATAATATTATATATCTTCAGTTAATCTCATACAGTTATAAATTGAATGATATCCTGGCAAGGTCTGTTCAAATTAAATCTACAAAACAAGATGAAAATGTACAATATAGTTACAAGTAATATGTATGAATCAAAAGAGGACGATTCATATTTTGATATACCTCTGTTATAACAGTTTGTTCCTTACTTGAATTCTATCTTTCGTTTTGTATTTTTGTTGTTCATTTTCACTATCCGTTCTTGTTTTTCAATATACTCAAATCTTATACTTAGTAACTGTACGCGAATGTTTTTTTTTTTCGTTTCTATTCCGTTGGAAATAGGTTAATTTTCTGTTTGTTGAAAGTATATAATATATATATATTTATGTTTTGACGTCATAGGTTCATTTCATAATCATTTCTTGCAATTCGTATGGCATGAAATAGATTTCAAACAGATCTATTCAAATCTACTGAATTTCTGACAAGGTATCAACTGATGGAATAATATTCGAACTGGCAATCGAACTGACAACCCTCGTCCGTGCGAGATGTGAGTTGACAGCAACTGTCACTTGCTGTTGTCAAATTGATAATTCTGAACGTCGTCTAAACATTTGCGTTGTACATGTGGTTATCATTTCTCACGCTCACGGCGTCTGCGGATGTAAGAATTCGATTCAAAAGCTCATCCCTTATATTCACAGGTGTTTCATAGACTCAACTCTCAAGATAGCTCTAAAGAAATGCATCAAGTAGATTGAGATCAGGTGACCGAGGTGGCCATGGAGATGGACTTTGATGAGATGTGATTTTCAAATGATCAAATGAATATTCGAAAGAACATCTTTCAACAGCGGATTTGGGAGTTCTAGCAATAAAGTTCATCTATATTCGAAGTCCTATTCATTATATGGGATGCTTAATCAATCAGTTGCCAATTAGTCCTTCACATACATCAATAATAAATGGAGTTTCATCACCTTTGAAATGATTGGAATCTATTTTTTTGAAATGCGATTTTCTCTAGATCTGTTCAAGTTATCCATTAAAATGAAGTACACCCTTTTTTTAGGAAGAAAATGCAGGTATCGAACGATGAGAGCAAAAATGTCAAATTTGTCATATCTGTCAAAAATCATTGAACGCGATTAAATCCAACGTATTCACTGAATAGCCGTTTACATAGGGTAGGGAGCATTAGTATCAGTTAATTCAGCTACCCAAATATCATTCATACCATGGCAACCGTGTGAGAGTTATACATGGAATTAACTTTGTTATACTAACTTTCAAGGTCAATAACTTAGTAACAAAGCGCGATAGACATTTTTTTCATATCAAGAACTCACAATATTATGACTCACTCTATATCAGCCCTATCATTCACGACATGACCTCTCTGGACACCCTGTATAAGTAGTCTCTTTTTCTCCTGTCGACATATTTTTTTTGTGGAAAAACTCGAGGTCCAAAATTGATTGGTTCTGAATACATAGGAACAGTATTCATTACCCTGTATAAACTGTTTTTGCTTCGATGAGAAAGTATGTCGGATTCGGATATAATATCTTCTAGATCCATATATTCAGAAATGATCGAGAATATGCAACTTCCGTCTTCCTTGTGTGATTTATATTACCGAGTGAATAAAGGAGATGTGAATTACTGTCTGTATTTCACAACAATTTTCAATAACGGAATCTCATTTCAGAATATACATTCGGTGGAAATTTCGCTCAGGAAGTTAAAACATATACGACAGTAGCATTCATATCCTCTGAGGAAGAGGAAGAGGAGGTGATGATTCAGATGGAACTTTAATTGTTCGAAAAATAGGAAATTATCCCGACAAGAGGAAGGAACAAACATATATATGGGATATGAGATATGGAAGGCATATCAATCAGAATAACCATGAATTAGAAATAATATAAGTCTAGTTGCTCTCCTCTCGACCAATTCAGGGCTCAAGAAAGTATTAAGTACTTATATTCAGTGATATTGTTTCGTAATTTTGACTGAGTTTATAACTTCATAGTAGAAATCTCAGTAAGGGTCATTCAGTGAGTGACATTTCCAGCTATTGTTGGATATCATAGAGATCAACAGTATAGTCACCTATCATTTGTTTGAGAACACGAGATTCACCATGATTTTAGAAAAA